ACATCGACCAGCTATAAACTGTGATGCTTTTTGAATTCATGAATTTATTTTTCATCATCCTTCTCTTCCTTGCTGCTTTGACATCGTTTCAGGGTCAGTCTTGGTATTTTCTTCCTTTTTTCTCCCCTACTCCTTTCTACTGAAACTAATAAATTACTTCCTTATAGTCATATATGAGGGCAAGAGTAAACAAGCTTTGGAAAGAACCTAATAAGTTTTCTATAAACTTAACTGATAGCTCTTCAGGCTGTTCCCAGGCTTGTTTTTGTCTTCTTCTTACATCAGTGGTTCTGCCTGTCTTGCGGAGGATGCTGCAGGGGTGACTTCCAGATAAGGAAGGCATTTTAGGCTGTGACAGGTGAGCAGGGGTCTTCTCTGAATGGCTCTGATTAGGTTGAGGGTTCGAGGGCACAGACAAGATCTGGCTGAGAAGAGGACCTCTCTGCTGGGAGCTGAGCCCCTAAACTCAGTGACATTTGGCACACTGGATGCTGGTGTTTTCTCTCTGTATAGGCTATCCTTCCTCAAGGCTGAGGCAAAATGAGTCGAGGCGCCCTATCTTTTCCTCATATTTCCACTTAGATGCAATGCACATACCCAGGTGAGTCCCTCCACAAGATAATGATCCTTTCAGAACCTTAGATGACATCATTTGGAGATTTGTTGAGTGGCTATCAACCACCCCAACTATTGTTGATAAAGAAGAGATAACAGAGTGAAAATATTTGTCATATGAGTTTCACTATTTTTTTTAGTCATATACGTTCTGATGTGGTAGTGGGAGTAAAGAATTCTCTTATGACTATTCTAGATATCAGAGATGGAAAATTCTTAGCTCATTCATTACCCTTCAAGACTCATATGCCATGCGGCTTTCTGTTGATCTTCTGGGCTGATTTCATATGCACCTGCTTCCTTCTCAGGAGATACTAAGTGATAAATGATCTCAGGGCTAGAGAGATATTTCAAAGGAATCACATCCAATGTTGCCATTCGTATTTCATTTGGCCATATTCCTTTAGTGGGTGACATTTTCCCAGGCTATCAGTCATTCATTTTAGTTCTGAATCTCATGAAACCCAGAGCTAGTCATTTGACAACATTCCTGTGCCTCAATTTCCCTTCTTTAACAGCTTGATAATAGAAACAGAATGTGAGCCACATACATAATTTCAAACGTTCTAGAATTCACATTAAAAGAGTAAAAAAACTAAACCAGACCCAGAAACACAAATACCATTTGATCTTACTTTTTGGAATCTAAAAAAGTTGAACTAACAGAAGCAGAGAGTAGAACAGTGCTCTCCAGGAAATTGGGAGATGTTAGTCAAACGGTACAAACTTGGTAAGAGGAACAAGTTCTGAAGATCTAATATACAGCATGGGTGGTGATAGATGTGTTGAAAACAAAACAAAAAAGAAATAAGTGAAGTTAAATTGAATATACATTATTTAACCCAATATATCCAAAATATTATCATTTTAAGGTATAATCAATATGAAACATTAGTATTATTATTATTTGACAGGATTTCATTTTGTTGCCCAGGCTGGAGTGCAGTGGCATGATCATGGCTCACTGCAGCCTCTATTGCTTGGGCTCAAGTGATCCTCCCTCCTCAGCCTCCCAAGTAGTTGGGACCACACCCAGCACAGGCCACCACACCCAGCTAATTTTTAAATTTTGTTTGTAGAGATGGGGTTTTGCCATTTTGCCCAGGCTGGTCTCAAACTCCGGGGCTCAAGCAATCCTCCCACCTCGGCCTCTCAAAGTGCTAGGATTACAGGCGTGAGCCACCATGCCCAGCCTAAAACATTACTAATGAAACATTTTACTTTCTTATTTTTCATACCAAGTCCAATATTTGTTGTCTATTTTACATGTACAGTGCATCTTTTTTTTTTTGAGACAGAGTCTCGTTCTGTTGCCCAGGCTGGAGTGCAGTGGCGCAATCTCGGCTCACTGCAAGCTCTGCCTCCCGGGTTCACATCATTCTCCTGCCTCAGCCTCCTGAGCAGCTGGGACTATAGGTGCCCGCCGCTATGCCTGGCTAATTTTTTGTATTTTTTCGTAGAGACGGGGTTTCACTGTGTTAGCCAGGAAGGTCTCAATCTCCTGACCTCGTGATCCACCCGTCTCGGCCTCCCAAAGTGCTGGGATTACAGGCATGAGCCACCGCGCCCGGCCTACAGTGCAACTTAATTCAGACTGGCCACATTTCAAGCGCTCAGCAGCCACTAGCCAACACAGCAGTTCTGTATAATGGATGTGTGGTTCCGTTTTCAAGAGTATTGTGTAGTATTTTAGAGTTGAGTGAATGTCTGCTTTAAACAACATGAGAGATACAGGTAGTCATAGTGGTGCCAACCAAAAATATGAATAGTCTTTTTTTCTTTCATGGAGTTGGAGGTTCAAGTCAATTTCAGAAGATCAGATGCTGATCCTATGAATCACAAGAGGCCATAGATGCAAGGACAAGAGCAGGTCAGAGCAATCAGATATGAAACACAGGGCTCCTAGAATGAGCAAAATCAGCACCCAAGGGGTGTGAAAACTAGAATGAATGTGTCCGATGAATAACTCATTCTACGTTGAGAGAAATTTTATCTGTGAGTCCAAGTAGCTTCCTGGATTTTATTAAGAACTTTTAAAAGATGTCATGGAGATTGAGTTGCTATTTAGAGATTGAGCTGGTATTTAGAGATTGAGTTGGTATTTAGAGATGGAGGCACATTAAGAAAGATGTTGAAATGAAGAAAGGGTTTGTTGTAATGACAAGTGCTAACAGGAAGGTGGTGGCTTGAAGGAGAGTTGACAAATCTGTCATTATCCTTCCAGTCTTGTCCAAGGCAGAGGGCGTTCTTGCCAGACAACATACGCGTTCCAGGGTGCTTGGCAGACTCCCTCAGTGAAGGAGCCTCAGCACAGCAAAAGTCCCCATCAGGCGGATCCCACGCCCCCTGCACAGCTTGTGTAAGGGCACAGCTTGTGTAAGGACAAGAGCTAACCAGATACCTACTACGTAGCAGGCTCTTCAATGATTCTTCTGTAAAACAGATTGTATTCGTTTGCTAGGGCAGCAAAACACTACGGACTGAGTGGCTTAAACAACAGAAGTTTATCTTCTCACAGCTCTGGAGGCTGGAAGTCCAAGATCAAGGTGCCGGCCCATTTGGTTTCCTTGGAGGCCTCTCTCCTTGACTTGCAGATGGTCACCCTCTTCCTCCCTCTTCACCTGGTTGTCCCCTGTGCGTGTGTGTGTGCCTGGTGTCTCTACCACTTCCATTCTGAACTTATGAAACAGATTTTAGTGGGTGTAGCAAGATCATGCAAGCTTTGGGACTTGAATGGATTTGAATCTATTCCAATCACATTGGATTAGAGTCCTACCCCAATGGTCTCATTTTAACTCAATCATCTCTTTAAAAACTTCATCTACAAATATACTTACATCCTGAAATTTTGGAGTTTGGGACGTTGACATATGAAATTTGGGGTGACACAGTTCAGCCAATGATATAAGCACTACCTATCTTACAGGTGAGGAAACTGAGGGCCGGTGAGGACATGTAACTTGCATAGGATTAGTACGCCAGTCGAGACTAGAATCTGGATCTCAGTTGGGTGTTCTTTACACAAAGAACACTTTGTCTCTTGAGGCGAAATGATGTATCTGGTTAGTGCCATCGAAGACATTTGGAAAACTCAGGTTTCTTCAATGCTTGCAAGATTACCTAGGTACTTCATGGGGAATGGTGAGGGGCATGAGGGTGGTTGAGGGATGATCAGTGGAAGCAGTTTGGAGATTGGGATCTGGAATCGGGGTGTGAGTCTTGGCTCTGTCATAGACTAGGTGTATTGCCATTGTCAAGGCCTGCACAATCTAAGCTTATACTGATTAAGATTTATTAAGCAACAGTGCTAAGCAGTGAACACATGTCATCTCATCCCATGTTCACAGCCAGCGTATAAAGTGGATACTATTGCTGTGTCTACTTTACAGTTGAGGAAAAGAGGCCCAGAGAGGCTAAGTGACTTACTCAAGGTCACATAGCCAATAAGGCCTAGAGCCAGGACTCAAACCCACATCTGTGGATTTCAAAACCTATACAGTTAACCATGAACAGAATCAGGAACGGGGCTCAGGGTTACAAAAATCTGCTTTTATAAGGGAGAAAAAGTCTGAGTTTTAATGTAAAATCTCAAGGATTTTCAATGTTGAATAATTCAAGTTTCTTAAACAAAACTAAGCAGCTCAGACAAAACATATCAGCTAGCCTCAGTTTCATACTGCATTGCCTCTTACCTGTAAAGTGGGAAAGTTGTTCTAGATAAACCTGCAGGGCCTTGCCTGTCCTGATTGTTTATGAACCTCTGATGCCATTTTGAACTTATGAAATAGATTTTGGTGGGTGTGGTAAGATCATGCAAGCTTTGAGACTTGAATGGATTTGAATCTGCACCTTGGCCCTTAGTAGCAATATAAGAAGGCAAATTATTTAATCTTTCTGAACCCCAGTTTCCCTGTCTGGAAACTGGGACTTGTACTTTGTACGTTGATGTGAATATGGAGATGAAGTCTGTAAAGTGCCTGCTGGGAAGCTTGGTAGGCAGTGAGAAAAGAACACCAAGATAATGTTCTTTGGCGTGGGATTGGGAGTCTGTGAGTAGTGGGTGTATGTGAGTATTCGGAGGGGATGTGGTCATGGTATCCACTCTGACAGCACTCCCCACATACCCAAGGAGCTGCCATTTTAAACTTCAGTTTTGGAAACCTCAAGAGTTCCTTTGCAAAAATGTCCATCCTTGTTAGAGAGACTGGTTAATACCTTTGCAGGAGTTAGATGCTATTGTATTTATTTACTCACTAGGCAAGCGTTTAGTGAGTTTCCAATGTGGTGAAAGGGGAGTGGTTCTCAAACCCTAATCTGCAACAGGAAACAGCCAGGGAGCTTGCTTATACTAAAGCTTCTGAGCTGCCACTCCCAGAGTCCAACTTAGAGTGCTATAGGGCCAGGAATCTGCATTTCCACAGCTCTCTGGGGATGCTGATGCAGGGGTCCAAAGACTATCTACTGAGGCCCAGTGTAACTTTACTGTGAGACAACTAGTCACCTTCCCACTCAGAGATGCTTCCCGAGCTGACCACAGCGCCGCCACACCTGGGTAAGCTACCACTCAGGGTGGGCCTGGGGCACAGCCAGACCGGTGAGGAAGTGGGAGGGAAGAGCCTGTTTTAACTAGATAAAATTCCAAAATTCCTTACAGTGAGCTAGCCATTTCTTTTTTTTTTTTTTTTCTGAGTATCCTTCAGTTGCCCAGCCTAGAGTACGGTGGTGTAATCACATAGCTCACTGCAGCCTGGAGCTCCTGGGCTCCAGTGATCCTCCCACCTCAGCCTCCTGAGTAGCTGGGACTAAGTCACATACCCCTAAGCCCAGCTAATTGTTTGTGTTTTTTTTTTTTTTTTTGTGACGATGTCTTGCTCTGTCACCCAGGCTGGAGTGCAGTGGGCGATCTCCACTCACTGCAAGCTCCGCTTGCCGGGTTCAGGCCATTCTCCTGCCTCAGCCTCCCGTGTAGCTGGGACTACAGGCGCCCACCACCTCGCCCGGCTAGTTTTTTTAAAATGTATTTTTAGTAGAGACGGGGATTCACCGTGTTAGCCAGGATGGTCTCGATCTCCTGACCTCGTGATCCGCCCGTCTCGGCCTCCCAAAGTGCTGGGATTACAGGCGTGAGCCACCGCACCCGGCCGCTAATTGTTTTTTGTAGGGGTGGTGGTGGCGGTAGGGTGTATGTCTCACTAGGTTGCTCTGTCTGGTCTTGAACTCCTGGCCTCAAATGATCCTCCCGCCTCCGCCTCCGCCTCCGCCTCCGCCTCCTTAAGTCTTGGGATTACAGGAGTGAGCCACAACATCCAGCCCAGCCAGTTCATTCTTAATAACTTTAAGACATAAAAATGGACCATTTTGGGCCGGGCGCGGTGGCTCACGCCTGTAATCCCAGCACTTTGGGAGGCCGAGTCGGGCGGATCACGAGGTCAGGAGATTGAGACCATCCTGGCTAACACAGTGAAACCCCGTCTCTACTAAAAATACAAAAAAATTAGCCGGGTGCAGTGGCGGGCCCCTGTACTCCCAGCTACACGGGAGGCTGAGGCAGGAGAACGGCGTGAACCCGGGAGGCGGAGCTTGCAGTGAGCCGAGATTGCACCACAGCACTCCAGCCTGGGCGACAGAGCAAGACTCCGTCTCAAAAAAAAACAAAAGGACCATTTTCGTGTACTGAAATACGCAATAATTTCCACCATCCGAATACGGTGTGTAATGACCTCCACGCGCCTAGTTACTATCTACATTCATAGCTTAGCGAGCAGAGCCTGCCCTGAACGGACTCCTTTCCCACTGCAGACGAGTAGGGGGTTTTGCCCGTAAAGAAGGAGCTAGTCTACGTGCGCCTGCAGTAGGCCCTGCGCCATCCTTCATTTCTCGGCTTCCTCCCACGCGCCTTCATGCGGATGTGTAGGTATCTCCTCTCCCTGGCTGAGTCAAGTCACTCAGAGACTGAAAAGAGAGAGAGGATGCGGCGTGAAGCTGAAGTCTGCACCCAGGGCTTGGCACCTACTGGGTTGGGCTGGGCGCTGCGTGCTTGCATTTCCGCGGATAGACCGAGATGGCATCTGGGCTGTGACACTGGCTGCCCAGCTTTTCTTTTCTTTTTTTCCAACAGCATCTGGAAGAGGCTCTGGGAGGGTCCAAGCAACAAACCACGCGGCGTTCTCTGGAGGCTGAGCTGGGACGAGTGGGCGGAAGCAGCCTCAGGTCTGTCTCTTCTCTTCAGCCTGAAACTCACTGCAAATACCAGAGGTTTTTTTTAGAGATTAGATATATTTGCATCCTTCTCCCCCCAACCCCGCCCCTAAGCCAGAGGAAGTGCTTGAGGAAGTAATGTGTTTAAAGAATGTGGGGGAGGGGAGCTTACATTAGGAAGCAGGACTCTCAACGTGTAGCCAGAAACCCCAATAACCTTTAAGCTGTTAACCCTTGAGGATACACGGCTCAGTGGTGTACCCACGTGGAGTTCATTATTTATCTCCAAAAGCCCTATCCGTCTCTCATTCCGAGCCTTAAACGAATCATCTGCAGCTTGGCCAACAATTCAGCTCCAGCTCCCTGGGAATAGCAGCAAATCCCGGGACAGCTGTTCCTTCTGCTGAAAACACCAGGAAAATCCACCCAGCAGCACAGGGTGTTTGACCAGAAAGCCTGGTGTTGGTCACCGTCAGAGAGGACGAAAGGAGGGAAGAGGTCCTTGGCCCGGTCCTTCCATTTTTTTTTTTTTTTTTTGGTCCTTGGGAGCTTGGATGAGCTTGTCTTTGATTCCTTAATTGGTTTTGCACTCTTTTCTCCCCTTCATAAATCCATTGAAATGATACATATATTTAAGAGTAAGGCAAACCTCAAATTAGGCTGTCTGTAGAACTGAGCCTCTGCAAAGAGAGTAATTAAATTATTGGCATGAAACGGCAGGAACCCTGGAGGGGACGGCAGGGAGAAGGCACTAGTAAAAGTGGGAGGAAACTACTTGGGAAGATATTGGTGCCTATGCTAGGGAATGACATATATCCAAGCCATTTCTCATCAGACTTGAAAATACTGTATACATCTGTGTATGCCAGCAGATGTGAGGCAGATTTCCCTGGCCCGCTGGTCTGTCTGAATGTTCTGTCTCTGTCCCTCTTAGGGGCTTGCTGTGCCACCCCTCCTCCACAGTGTGGAAATAAAAACCTTGAGTTCCTTTAAGGAAAATTCCAGGCACCTAGCTATGCCTGAGATATTAATGAGCAACTTCATAAGCAAAAAGGTAATCGCAGCATAAAACAATAGCCATAAAACTACAGCCATGAGATGTTTGGTTCCCTATAGAAACCAAAGATACATCTTAACATACGTCCCTGTGTTATTTTTCAGAAACCTAGACCACCACCAAATGGATCTGCTGGCACGTAGACCTCAGAAAAAAGGAAACTGAGGACTGAACTCTGACCGCTATTTCTTGTTCTACATTTTTTCTTGAAGGACCTGAAGGAAGTCACGCCCATGGGCCAGACCTAACGTTCTTTTCTGCTAACTCCCAGTTTTTAAATAGAGCTTCCCTTCCTTAACCAATCGCAAATCAGACAATTTTTGAATTCCCCTGTAACCTGTAAGCCCCTACTTCAAGATATCCTGTGTGTTAAGGTCAAACCAATAGGTAGCCTCCATGTGTTGACTTATGACTTTGCGTGTAACCTCTGCCTGCCTGCCTTTAGAAAGAAACCATTGCTTGCAAGCCTTTGGGAAGGTCAGGTGAGCTGCCTGATTCTCCGTGCTGGGTGCCCTGCAAATAAACACCCTGTTTCCTCTCACTACAAAACCTCAGTGTGAATGTTTGGCTTCACTGCCCTGGAGGCACACACCTCAGTTCGGTTGGGCAACATGGGTCTCGGTGTGCTGAAAGCCACTTTTTGTTTTCATTAGGGACTTGCTCATGCCAAACATCCTGAATTTAAGTAGAACTTACTACGTTTGGGGAGTTTGTGGGATGGGGTCCCCTTGTGGAGCTCTGAGCCTTCTGCCATCCCCTATCTCTGGTCCTATTTTATTTTATTTTTTTTGAGATGAAGTTTCGCTCTGTCACCCAGTCTGGAATGCAGTGGCACAATTTCGACTCACTGCAACCTCCACCTCTCAGGTTCAAGCCATTCTCCTGCCTCAGCCTCCCAAGTAGCTGGGATTACAGGCATGTGCCATCACGCCCGTAATTTTTGTGTTTTTAGTACAGACGGGATTTCACCATGTTGGCCAGGCTGGTCTCAAACTCCTGACCTCAAACGATCCACCTGCTTCGGCCTCCCAAAGTGCTGAGATTACAGGCGTGAACCACCCCACGCCTGATCCCTCTGGTTCTCACTCATTCTAACCTGGATTGGCTCCTGGGTGCTCCAATTCTTTCATTGCTTCAATGCGAAGGTTTCACTTTCCTTTGAGGCCTTACTATACAGGTCAACATTCTGGAGGTATCAGCCTCTGTCCCCAATTGACTTTCACAAGCCCCCCAAGCACTTGGCAAAATAAAGGCCTTCCTGTTAACACCATCTGGTGTTAGGGTACAGTGGGTAGCAAAAATGTGTCCCTTCTCCATATGTAATCCACATATCCCCAAGCCTTCTCTGTCCACGGAAAAGGCTTGAGCCTCCACTCCTGTGGCCCTGCAGCAAATCCAGTCCTCTCACCTCCCCATATTTTTGAGGGTCCCTTAGGGAAGGGCCAGTTACCCATTGTCTTACTCTAGAAGTCATTGCTTGGGTCCTCTTACAGGTTAACTCTGGCCTTTTAGCAGTTCCTAATCTGTGCTGCAGTGGTACCCTTAGCTCAGTCTCTCTGCAGTAAGGTGGGTACAGGAGCCCCCTGCCCATTCCCTGGAAAACAGTGAACACTCTCACTCCTGATTGTCTCTGCCTCCACCCTTGCCTGCTCGTGCCCTGCCCTGGAGGTCACCTCCTGGCCCGGAATCTCTTGCTCCCTGTGATGGTTAATACTGAGTGTCAATTTGATTGGATTGAAGGATATAAGTATTGATCCTGGGTGTGTCTCTGAGGGTGTTGCCAAAGGAGAGTAACATCTGAGGCTGGGAAAGGCAGACCCACCCTTAATCTGGGTGGGCACCATCTAATCAGCTGTCAGTGTGGCCAGGATATAAAGCAGGCGGAAAAACGTGAAAAAGCTAGATTGACTTAGCCTCCCAGCCTACATCTTTCTCATGTGCTGGATGCTTCCTGCCCTCGAACATCGGACAAGTTCTTCAGCTTTGGAACTTGATTGACTTCCTTGCTTCTCAGCTTGCAGATGGCCTGTGGTGGGACTCTGTGATCCTCTAAGCTAATACTACTTAATAAACTCCCCTTTATATCTATCTATCCTATTAGTTCTGTCCCTCTAGAGAACCCTGACTAATACAGATTTTGCTACTGGGAGTGGTTCTAGAGGAACAGAATATTAAGGATGGAGGTCTTTAGTTGGTTTTGGGGTTTCTGGAGTTGGCTCCTTAATATGACTAGATCCCAAAATGCTAAGGACTCTGCTGCTAATAGTATAGAGAACACTAATAGTCATTGGTGTGAACTCTTCAGAGAGTTATGGAAAATAAATGCATTTGATACTCCTGATTCACCCCTCGTGAGACATAAGGAGTTTAGTGACTCTATACATAATACCTTTGACTATATGTGGAGAACCAAGGAACGTAATGAAGTTGGTTGGTTACGCCTAAGTTCACTGGACAAAGTTATGAAAGAAAATGATGAACTTGGCCGGGCGCGGTGGCTCAAGCCTGTAATCCCAGCACTTTGGGAGGCCGAGACGGGCGAATCACAAGGTCAGGAGATCGAGACCATCCTGGCTAACACAGTGAAACCCCGTCTCTACTAAAAAATGCAAAAAAAACTAGCCGGGCGAGGTGGCGGGCGCCTGTAGTCCCAGCTACTCGGGAGGCTGAGGTAGGAGAATGGCGTAAACCCCGGAGGCGGAGCTTGCAGTGAGCTGAGATCCGGCCACTGCACTCCAGCCTAGGTGACAGAGCCAGACTCCGTCTCAAAAAAAAAAAAAAAAGAAAATGATGAACTCAGGACTTGTACACTCCCTATCCCTTGTCCCTTGCTCCTCCCTATCTCCTTGCTCTGGCCAGAGGAAGCAAAAATGCCTTAATTCCATAAATAATTTCTACAGACTCGCTGTCTAAAACAAAGATGGATTTCTACTTAACATGTCAGTCTGAAGCAGTTGCATCTAGATTACCCCACTGTTTTTTGTTTGTTTGTTTGTTTTGTTTTGTTTCTAGAAGAAGACTTGCTGGGGAAAAGGAAGATTCTCTCCATCCTTCTACCCTACAGTACCCTAAAGGATACGACTTTCTTCCTTTAATGTTTTATTTTTAAAAGTTTTAGATATACATAAAGTTGATGGAGTACTGCAATGAATGAATGCCCATATATCCTGTACCTAGATTGAACAGGTGATAACATTTTGCCAGGTTTGCTTTATCTCTGTATATGTAGCTGTGTGTGTGTATGTGTGTGTGTGTGTGCATGTTTGGCTGGGTCATTTAAAAGTAAGTTGCAGACATCATGATCTTTTATCCCGAAATACTTCAGCTTGCGTCTCCTAAGAATAAGGACATTTTACAAACCACCATACCATTAACGCCTAAAAAAATGAACAGTATTTCCATAATACACAACAACTTTTAAAACAGCGTCTTCATGGCTTTTTCTGGTATTCTTCCTTCATACCTTAGGCCATGTAGTAGTGGCATCTGTGTTATCAGTACTTGGGAACGCCAGTGGTTTTCCTGTCCAAATTGGGGAACAAGGTTGCCGAGAGTTAAATGTAAGATTAACTTAAAATCAGAGCAGAGATATGCAGAGTCATCTTAAAAGATATAAAGAGGGCCCAGTGTGGTGTCACATCCCTGTAATCTCATCACTTTGGGAGGCTGAGGTGGGAGGATCATTTGAGGTCAGGAATTTAAGGCCAGCCTGGGCAATACAGTGAGATCCTGTCTCTTCAAAAAACAAAAAATTATCCAGACATGATGGTGTGTACCTGTAGCCCCAGGTACTCAGGAGGCTAAGGTGGGAAGATTCCTTGAGCCCAGCAGTTCAAGACTGCAGTAAAGTAAAGTTGCACCACTGAACTCCAGCCTGGATGACAGAGCAAGACCCTGTCTTTTAAAAAAGGAGAAAAAAAGAAGAAGTCTATTTATTTGGTTCATAGTCTGTTGACCCCTAAAGGAAGCATCAGAAGCCACTACATAAAAGCTGTGACATGAAACTCAGGGAGATTTTTCTAAGATATTTGCCAGCTACAAGGCATTGTCCATGGGCCTTATTTCCAGAAAAAAACGGGGAGGGAGGAATGCCATGGAATAAGTTATTCTCGAGAGTCTTTGCTTATTCTTAAGGATTGTACTAGGCCCAGCCAGTCTCATTTGCTGCTTGGAAATGAGGGCATATGCCTCAACGTGTGGGATTCCTATTAAGCATGAAATTTGACCCCATAAGTACTACCTCATCTCACGGGTACTGTCCATGTAAGATTGGGTCTCACATAATGGACCTTTGAATATTTCAGTCTCAGTTGAAAAGTCCTCTCTGTAATGAGAAAGGTGAACTGGCTCTCAGAGCTCGATTCCCTTAAACATGGGACTCTCCCTAATTCCCTTCGTTCAGATTCCATATTGAAAAAGCAACTGTTTGGCTGGGAGCGGTGTCTCACGCCTGTAATCCCAGCACTTTGGGAGCCGAGGTGGGTGGATCATGAGGTCAGGAGATCGAGACCATCCTGGCTAACATGGTGAAACCCCGTCTCTACTAAAAATACAAAAAGCTAGCCGGGCGTGGTGGTGGGCACCTGTGGTCCCAGCTACTCGGGAGGCTGAGGCAGGAGAATGGCAACGACCTGGGAGGTGGAGCTTGCACTCTAGCCTGGGTGACAGAGGAAAAAAAAAAAAAAAAGAAAAACTAGCTGTTTTAGTTTTCTGTGGCTGTTATAACAAAGTATCACAAACTCAAATTGGGTGCCTTAAAACAATAGAAATGTATTCTTGCGTAGTTTTGGAAGCCAGAAGTCTGAAATCAAATGTCCGCAAGCCCGGCTCTCTTGGAAACTTGAAGGAGAGAAAGTTTCTTTGCTCTTCTAGCTTCTGGTGTTTGCTGGCACTCCTTGACTTGTAGATGCCTCACTCTTATTCCTGCGTCTGTGGTCACATGGCTGTCTTTTCCCTGCGTGTATCTGTCTCTTCTCCTTTTCTTTTTTTTTTTTTGAGAGGGAGTCTTGCCCTGTCGCTCAGTCTGGAGTGCAATGATGCGATCTCGGCTTACTGTAACCTCCACCTCGCAGGTTCAATTAATTACATCTGCAAGACCCTGACTTCCAACTCAGGTCACAATCACAAAGTCTTGTGGGTTAGGACTTAAAGAGACCTTTTGCGGGACACAATTCAACTCATAATAGCAACCCTTAGATTATGATGTTGCTCCCATGGAAACTTCCTTCTAGGAAAAGATGTCTTAGTCATACAGACTTTAAGTATTCTAGTTCCTGTGTCGGTGATTTCCTGTTGTAAAATACATAAATTAGACTCAGAGAATGATTTGGCTTCCCGTGTCATCGGACTATAGATAGAAAAAGAATGCATCGATTATATGTGGACCAGGGTTTTGCATTTCCGGAGAGAGTAATTGCTCATTGTGAGCCAATAAATTGACTTTCTGGTTTGATTCATCAGTGGCATGGTCCATCCCTGAGATTTTGGCTAGGAGAGGAGCAGCCACCATATCTATGCCAAAAAAACCTAGTT